ACCTGGAAGTGCCGGAACGGTAAGCACAGGAGTATGTGCCCGAGTCCTCTGCCTGGAGATTGGTCATGGTGATGAACACATTCCTATACTGGTGGTCATCCACTATTTTAACATTCCCCTTTGTGGCCTCGGTTGCATATGAATATTGTGTTGGATAGGTTGTTTCCACTAAGGGCTCACATTCCTTATCTCGCAGGCGGCACCAGGCTTTCTGCTGGTCGTAGTCAGCCTGTGCTGTGTAAGGACACCAGATATGCAGAGTGCTTCCTTCTGATTGTCTCTCCTCGGCATCAGGTGTTTGGGCTTGGAGACCTGTGAATATCAGCTGTGGTGAGGGAGAGGGGAGCTGATGCAGGGCTGCCCACAGCCTCCTGACAGACACAGGGAAACTCTGCCTCCGACCTTCCCCCACAGGCAATTGTGGCTGGAGGAACTCTGAAAGCTGAGATCCATTTCTCCTGCTCAATTCCCCTGCTTGGAATGGGGGGGGTTGATTTCTGGTGGGCAGTGCTGAGATTTGAGCTGGGTCCACAACTGTGATTTAAAACCCAGTATCGTTGACTTAGAACCCAGACACGCGTGTTGGCCCGTGAAGCCTAAATGGAGCCGCGTGTGGCGCAGCGTCCGGAGCTGCCCCAGCAGCCCAGCCCGTTGTTACTGCCCCTTGCCGCAGGCAAAATGGAGACCAACCCTTCCCCACACCGGGGATGGCAGTGGTGGGGCTCAGTCGCCCCTCAGGAGCCGCGTCTGTACGAGATGTGGGGATGGGGCAGAGGGAAGGAGCAAGCGCAGCATGTGCCTTGGGGCTGAAATGCTCAGCCCATGGCTGGGCCTGAGCTTGTCCCCAGCAGCCTGCAGCTCCTGCGTGCCGCATCCTTGGAGGATGCCCAGCGACTCAGGGGTGCGAGGCTGTGCTGGGTGCAGGGCTGCCTCGATTCCCCCACCTACCACACGCTGAAAGCCTTGTGCTCTCTACGGGGACGATGGCAGGGGAGGCAGGTGGGTGCCCCCGGCCAGCTCTGTCCTGAGCCAGGACCGCAATCGGAGCTGCCGAGCAGGGCCGGGCAGTGTGACGGGACACTGCAAGTGGGGCAGGCGCTGGGGCTGCTTTGGAGACCGCAGCTCCATGCTCCTGGGAGCGACTGTCCGTGGAGCCTGGAGGAGCCAGCTGTGCGGTGGTGGGACCTGGGGCCGTCCCTTCCCTCCCCATCCGTGCCAGAGTCCGGCCGGAGTTGGATTCCCCACCAGTGTGGAGCTGCCCAGGCAGCGGGAGGTGGGGAAGGGTGTCCCGCTGCCCCTGGGTGCGTGGGAAGCCTGAGCCATGCCCGGCCCTTCTCTTACCTGGGAAGCGGAGCAGCAGCAGGAGGAGGGCGCTCAGCTCCATGGCCGTCCTCAAGCCCAGGCAAGGGGCATTGCTGGGGGCTGCCCAGCGTTTCCCCTTCAAAAGCGTCTGCCTTGTGAGCCCTCCCGCATCCCAGTGACGCTGCTGGAGGAAGTGCCTGAGGTCTTGCCTCAAGCGGAAATCCTTCACCATGTTTTGTTACAGGACTGATATTAAGACAATTTCTCAGTGCGTTTGGGGAAGTGGTTGAGAGCAGAGCTCTGCCCGTCCTCATGGCAAAGGCCCTTTGCTGCTCTCGCCTGGCCATCGTCACGCTCTGCCCTCACGCCAGCGGCAGTGGGGCACTCCTTTGGCTGTCACGAGCCGTGGGAGATGGAGCAGGTCCTTTGTCCCGGCCCAGCCCTTCTCTCTGGGCTCCCAAGGTGTCCTCTGCCCAGTCCCTTGCTGGAGAGTCTCCTCAAAGCCAGGGTGGTAATGCGTCGCGGGCTGTGTCTGCGTGGACCCTCCCATGGGCCGTGCCGTTTGGGATGCCCGGTGCCCACCACCCCAGCCGTTCCCCTTGTGCCCTGTGCTTTGCTGTGCACACAGCCCTCGGGGTGCCTACCCCCGGAGTGCCCAGCTGCAGAAACCAGACCACAGCTATTTGGTTTTGCACAGTACACACTAATCTTCGCAGGTACGAATGAATTGTTTTTAAGTACAGGTGAAAGAATGCATATATTGAAATAATCCATTAAAACCAGCTCTTGACAAAACTGCCTTGTGGCTAACTGTGAAGAGGGACAGCTAAACACAGCTTACTGGGCCTGCACATCCTTTCGGTTCCCCAGTGCGGTTCAGGAACTGGAGGTGATAGGCTGAGGCATCTGGGAGTCAGGAGCAACCTAGTAGGTAAAATGAACTGCAGAGTACAGAGAGCAGAGAATAGGTGGAGCAGGTGGGGCAGCAAGCCTGCGACATAAGTTCTTCTGCAAGGAAAATGAGGAGAAAGGAGTTTCTCCAATTTTAGAAAAGAGACACTCACCTATGAAAACAGCTAGCTTAATTTCTTTTATTTGGAAGAGGTGAGAGTCATCATTAAGAGCACACCAGTACTTCGCAGTGTCTTGTACCATGAGCTTCTCCATGGTGATGCTGAGAACTCCCCTCTGGGTATCATAATTTACGGTACATCTTCCTTTCTGAGTGTTATTCTCATTCTGACTGCTTATCTTTTCTGTATCGACCAACCCAGCACACACTTTCCTCATTTTTTTTTGCAGCAGGCTTTCTGCACAGCCTTGTAATATTGTGTGTTGTATGGGCACTCAGCAGAGAGACTGCATCTCCCTAGCTACATATCCTTGGGTTTCTGGAAATATATATAAAAAAAATATTCTGTTGTTCTGAAGAATTTTTAGAATAATATAATCATGTCCCCAAACAAAGCAAAGCTCATTGTAATGGAAACATCAGGAGTCTTTGCCTGAATTCACCAGCTGACTTGGTAATCAGAGAAAAACAGCCAAGACCAGAATGATCTGAGGCACCTTAGGTACACAAAATGACTAAAACAACTTTTTGCCTGGAAAGGAAATGACAGCGGTGATTCTACAAAAGTCTATAAAATCAGGAATAGCAGGGAGAGAGAGAACAGGAGCAATAATTCACTGTCTGTTATAAGAAGGAAATCACTAGTTAGCAGACAAGGAGAAAAGGCTATTCTCCATGCATGCATCGAGTCTGGAGTTCTTTGCCACAGGATGTTCATATACCAAAAGTTTTTGTGTCAGCAGAATGAGTAGATGAATTAAAGAGAAAAAAGAATTTAGCCATTGCTATTATAACAAAAATATCCTCTCCAGAAAATCACTGGAGGCTGGGAGAGTGTTCTGGAGAGCTGCTTCTATGTGCTTCTCTGTTTTAATACTCTTTCCTAATTATCTGCTTCAGACAGGGTTGGAGAACTTTGGTCTGACCTACTATGGCTACTCCCCTGTAACCTGGGAGAAGGTCATACAAAACACTGAAAAGGTAAGCGGAGAAAGCGAGGCAGAAATCTACAAAATGCCCCACATTTTCCTTAAAAAGAAATACTCACTCTTGGAAACAGCATAACCTCAATTATTTGGAAAAAATGAGAACATGTACAGCATGCACACCGGTACACTCCTGAGTCTTCAACTTGCAGCTTCTGCATTGTGACTGTGATTGTCCCCTTCTGGGTGTTTTCAAGTATAGTGCTTCTCTCAGAATGAACCTTATTTTGATATGCTGATAGGTGATAATTGGTGTTGACCAAGATATCACATTTATCTTTCCTTCAGCACCAGAACTACAACGTCCAGCATTGTAGTTTTGGACATTATAGGGACCTACAACAGAGAGACTCTCCATAGCAGAGTGGTATTGGACCACTGCAGAACATAAGAACCACAGTATAAATCCCAGCTAAGAGCCATGATGACACATCTTCCACGAATGCCTTATCCACTATGGGATAAAGTCTTCACAGGTGAGATCCAGACCCTGTCTTCAGGTGGGACCTGAGTCCTGTGTACCTCACACACCTCTTGCTCTCTCTGCCTTTCCCATCACAACTTATTTTCCCACAGGGTCCCAAGTTCTGACAGGAAGAAGCTGCTGGGTTTAGGTGTAGTAGCAATTTTAAGATAGAAGCGCTCCATCTCTCTTTTCCTGTTACCACCATCACAGCAGAGCTGGGAGAAACTCATCAGTGTTCACAGCTGAGCAGCCTCAGCCCATTATCAAATGAGTCAGTATAAAACCTCTGGTAAAGCAAGTCATTGCCTTTTTCTGACTTTGTGGAAGAATCTAGTGAGGTAGGAGTGGCTGAGTAAATTCTTAGGTTGCTTTATCTCAGACTCAGTTTGTAGTTCTGGGAAGAAAAAAGTATCTTGCAAAAATATTTGAAAGAATGTAAAATCGAGGTAAGCCTTAAAATAACTTGTTCTTTTTTTTCACAGAAATAGAGAAAAAGGAGACTAATGTAACAAATTTTAATAGCGTTTTGCTTGATTTCTGGGTCTGAGGAGTGTGTGATCTAGCAATAAGGTAACAAAAGGTTAGGGAGGAGAAGAGTTTGGGAAACATTCAAATGTTGCCCCCAGGTTTCATGGTTATTTGTCATATGTGTAGTTTTTATAGCCATTATTTTTGTGCTGTCTGCCTGTTTATCAGTACGAACTTTGCAGTAAATAAGAGAGACCTAGGGTAGGGAAAAGGCCTTTAAGAGCGCAGGCAGCAGAGCATTCACAGAAGCACGTTCTTTAGGGTTTCTCATGGTGTGGGTCTGTCAATGCCCTGTGCGGTGTTACGAGTTGTGCGAGAGCACAAACTGCTAGGCTGGCAGAGGGAACGCTGTTGTTTCAGTGCTGGCTTATGAACATTTCCCTGTTCAAGAGACTGTAATATGCCATATAGGGAGGACAGTTTCCTAGCCATATTTTCAAAATTTCCAGTGTTTAGCTCTCTCCACTGAAAGAGAAGAGAAGGAATGTTGTACCTCAGCATCCCTCTGCATTGCTAATAGGACAACGGGGTCTCTTCCTCATTCCAAATTAATTTTTTTTACTGTATCATAAGGGATAACACAAATTTACTTTAAGTAAAAAATCTGATCTTTCACAGAAAGCAAATATATTTGGGGGTTAAAAAAAATCACAATTTTGCCCTATAATTTTCCTCAACCAAAGATGGCTGACCGTCTGTGAAGATCTGGTGTAGAAACTGTTTTGTATTGTAGCGTTGGGGGATAGTCTGTCCTGCTTGAGCATGAGTCAGAAAGAGTCCCTTAAAAAAAGGAAGAAGAAACTGTGCTGTGTGGCTCAGTGCCAGCTCTGCTGTAGTTCTGCACGTGTTCCTGTGATGGCTGGTGGGTTCAGGGTGTGTATTTGAGAAAAAGGGAGGAATCAGGCAGAAAAGCATTGTCGTCAAAAGATGAGGAGATTCTCCAGCTTTGGTTACAGCTTAGTACTGTGCTCAGGGACTGATCTTTTCTTACCTATTCAGGCTTTGTGTTTGGAGATACAGTGAGCACAAATATATGTGGAATTATATTTCCTCTATGGAATAGTTAACAGGCCTGAGCTGGCTCTGCGGAGGTTTCAAAAGACTGAGGATATAAAAGGTTTGGTGAGGAAATGGCAGACTATGTAAGTTGTGTGTGATAGTAAATCTGTGCTAGTCATTCCTGGGGGCTGCTGAAATAGTATTATAGAGCTGTCATTTGGATGATCCCAATTCCAAAATTATTAGCAACCCTTTTTTGTATTTGCTTCTTTACTGCCTCCCAAAGACTCTCCTTTTCCTCGACAGAGGCTATCAGAGGGATTGTTCCCCTCAGAGTTGCTTTTTGTGCTGGATCAAAAGTACAGTGCTCTGTGCACTTAGTCCGGTGTGCCTCAGCACCCAGGATTCTGCATCTTAAAAATCAGCTCCTAAGAGGCATTTAATAGCCATGAAACAAATGCTTTAAGGCCTTCCTATCTTCACATGGATTCAGCCTGTCCGTAAGTAGCTGTGATTTCTATTAAATATTGCACAGAATCACTGCCAGGACAATTGCCCCTCGAGCCAGTTACCACATGGTCCTTTCAGGGAGAGGTGGAGCTGGGCCAGGCAGTGCTGGGGGACATGTTGTTTGCATGACACACTTATATCTGCTTTTGAAGAGGAAACTGTGCCCTGAGTGACTTGGCTTGTGGTCCTGGAGAAGCCAGAATCTCCACGTGATGGGAACTGGAGCTGGCTTTCTCCTTTCATAACAGTACAGAGAATTTCTCCATCTAAAAAGAAACTTGCTTTGGTGGGAGAAACTTTCAGAAAATTCCTTTCCTAATGCTGGAATATCATGCCTTGTACAGGACCTTAGACAAATGCAAGAGAAACACTGTTCCTGAGCTCCCCTGGCCTCTTGTACCACCTCACCCCTTCTCTTACCTGAAAAACAAGAGCAGAAGCAGAAGGAATCTCAGCTCCATGCCTGTCTTGGAGACAAAAGAAAGGGCAACACTGAAGGCAGATCAGAGGATTAGTAGATG